GCCCCTTTCTCCAGATCATTTATGAATAAGTTGAATAGGATCGGTCCGAGGACTGACCCTTGGGGAACACCACTAGTTACCCCTCTCCATTCTGAGAATTTACCATTAATTCCTACCCTTTGTTCCCCGTCTTTTAACCAGTTCTCAATCCATGGAAGAACCTTCCCTTTTATCCCATGGCAGCTTAATTTACATAAGAGCCTTTGGTGAGGGACCTTGTCAAAGGCTTTCTGGAAATCTAAGTACACTATGTCCACTGGATCCCTCTTGTCCACCTGTTTGTTGACCCCTTCAAAGAATTCTAATAGATTAGTAAGACACGATTTCCCTTTACAGAAACCATGTTGACTATTGATCAACAGTTTGTTTTTCTATGTGTCGGACAATTTTATTCTTAACTATTGTTTCGACTGATTTGCCCGGTACAGACGTTAGACTTACCGGTCTGTAATTACCAGGATCACCTCTAGAGCCCTTTTTAAATATTGGTGTTACATTAGTTAACTTCTAGTCATTGGGTACAGAAGCTGATTTAAAGAACAGGTTACAAACCTTAGTTAACAGTTCCGCAACTTCACATTTGAGTTCTTTCAGGACTCTTGGGTGAATGCCATCTGGTCCCGGTGACTTGTTAATGTTAAGTTTATCAATTAATTCCAAAATCTCCTCTCATGACACTTAAATCCGTGACAGTTCCTCAGATTTGTCACCTACAAAAGCCAGCTCAGGTTTGGGAATCTCCCAACATCCTCAGCCATGAAGACTGAAGCAAAGAATCCATTTAGTTTCTCTGCAATGACTTTATCGTCTTTAAGCGCTCCTTTTGTATCTCGATCATCAAGGGGCCCTACTGGTTGTTTAGCAGGCTTCCTGCTTCTGATGTACTTCAAAGGTAATAACAAAGTGTTTTTTGAGTTTTTGGCTAGCCTTTCTTCAAACTCTTCTTTGGCTTTTCTTATTACATTCTTGCACTTAATTTGGCAGTGTTTATGCTCCTTTCTATTTGCCTCACTAGGATTTGACTTCCATTTTTTAAAGGAAGTCTTTTTTATCTCTCACTGCTTCTTTTACATGGTTAAGCCACGGTGGCTCTTTTTTCAGTTCTTTTACTGTGTTTCTTAATTTGGGGTATACATTGAAGTTGGGCCTCTATTATGGTGTCTTTAAAAAGCGCCCATGCAGCTTGCAGGGATTTCACTTTAGTCACTGTACCTTTTAACTAACCCCCTCATTTTTGCATAGTTCCCCCCTTTGAAATTGAATGCCACAGTGTTGGGCTGTTGAGATGTTCTTCCCACCACAGGGATGTTGAATGCTATTGTATTATGGTCACTATTTCCAAGCGGTCCTGCTATAGTTACCTCTTGGACCAGCTCCTGCGCTCCACTCAGGACTAAATCTAGAGTTTCCTCTCCCCTTGTGGGTTCCCGTACCAGCTGCTCCATGAAGCAGTCATTTAAAGTATCGAGAAATTTTATCTCTCCATTTGGTCCTGAAGTGAAATGTTCCCAGTCAATATGGGGATAATTGAAATCCCCCACTATTATGGAGTTCTTAATTTTGATAGCCTCTCTAATTTCCCTTAGCAGTATAAGATTTATCTGCTAATACTTTTCTATTGTTCCATTTAGCACAGTTTGCGCAAAGCTTTAGGAAATTTGGCCTAAATGCTAACAACTTCTACAGTGAACTCCTTTCCCCACCTAATGTATCTCTATAATGCAGAGTAATCAACAACCTCTAACTTCCCTTTTTGGGGATAGAGTAGTTTTACGCTGGCAGCTTTTATAATCCAGGGGATCCAAAGTGATAACTTGGGTCATGGTGGATAATCAGCTGAATGTGTGCTCTCACTACAATGCAGTGGCTAAAAGGGCTAATGTGATCTTTGAATGTATGAACAGGAGAATCTCAAGTAGGAGTACAGAGATTATATTACCTCTGTATTTAATACTGATGCAGCTGCTGGTGGAATATTTTGTTCAGCTCCGGTGTCATAGATTCAGGAAAGATGTTGGTAAATTAGAGAAGAGCCATGAGAATGAGAAAAGAATTGGAAAACATGCCTTATAGTGAAAGATGCACATAGCACAATCTATTTAAGTTATCAGTGAGAACATTAAGGGGTGACTTGAAGCTTAAAAGTGTACACAGGGAATAAAAATTTGATAATGGGCTCTGCGATCTAGCAGACAATGTTATAACATAATGTAATGGCTGCAAGTTGAAGCCTAACAAATTCAGATTGGAAATAAGATTCAGATTTTTAACAGTAAGGGTAATTAACAGATTGGAAAAATTTACCAAGGGTTGTGGTGGAGTCTCCATCAATGGCAATTTTCAAATCAAGATGTGCTCTAGTTCAAATAGGAATTAATTGAGGGAAACCCTATATCCTGTGTTATACAGGAGGTCTGAGCAGATGATCATAGTGGTACCTTTCAGCTTTATAATCTTTGAATAGTTGGTGTAAGTCTGAATGGATGGGCGCTGTGTGTACAGCCTGTAAGTGTTGGGGCTGCATTCTGAAGAGAAGGACTATTTATAAACTCCCTCAAGCTAAGTTCAGCCAGACTGTTTCTGCTAGCTTTCTACCAGGGATTTAGAGAAGTGTTAAATTAAGGTTTTAATTACTTTCTATGTCTTCCAAGAGAAAATTGTTGATATCTGACTCTTGTAGCCTTTAATGGCAGAACAAACATCAACCTTTAATGCCTTCCATAGATAGGTGGAAATAGTGAGAGCATCCCCACTAGAATTCTTAGGGCAGTCTCTTTCTTTTTCTCCTTCATATTTCTAACAGGTTATCATTGGCCCTCTAGACCATTAACCTTTTGGACCTGTCTCCACTGGTAACTATTTTAAAAATATGCCAGTGTTGCTATCACCTGTTCAGCTCTTACTGTTACTAAAGTTGGGAGCCCTACTATATGCCACCATAATTGTAAGCACCATGTTAATTAGAGATGTTAACATCAGGAAAGTAGTCTCTTTTCATCATGTTTGAAAAATCTAAAATGTTTCAAAAATTTGTCTCTGGCAAATGAAATAAATCCTGCATCAGGGCATACAAAATCCCTTGTTATATAGAATCATGCTATTACACTAGAACAGTTCTGTCTTCTAGACACAGAGGGGAAGAATCACTGGATGATTTTGCAAAGGAATCGTGGTGTTCTCTCCGTACCTTTTAGAAAGTGTCATCATCTGAATGCAAAATTGTCAGCTGAGGCAGCGTTTAATGGCAAAGTAATTGGATCAGTACTTAGACATCTTTCAAAGGGAGTGACTGGGAAATGGAGTTCTCCTCCCACATTCCTGAGGCTTCCTCCTTCTTCACTACTTAGAGTCTTTCTTTTCCTTCTCACTCAGGGTGCTAGCTGGGGTATTGCTTTTCAGATCACAAAGCTTGTGCTATAATAAATGGGGTTATAAACTGCAAACCTTAATTCCACTTAGGTGCTAATTTGCTTTCCATGACTGGGTCAGTACAGCACAGAAACCCTCCTTCCCCCCTTCCCCCCCCCCCCCCCAGTGGTATTTTGACTTCCGTGGGAGGGAGTATTTGTAATTAATTTAAGGAGATAAGATAGTCACTTATTTTTCCTTCACGGTGGGGGGAAGAACAAACCACTGATCTCCAAGAG